ATTGTTGTTTGTCTTGCTGAATATTTTAATTGGACGTAGGCCCCGCCGCGCGTTATTTATCGTCTAACAATGGCTGCAAGACTGGTAATTAATTACGTTGTTTTGTGTTACTTTATATAAAGATAGCAGGTCGATAGGAGTTAACCGGCAGAGAGCAACAATGGTATACAATGCGCAATTAGCGGGAGCGCCTCCCCGGAGAACAATGCGCAGTCGTCGGACGGTGTCCGTGTGCTGGTTGCGTGCCGCGCAGGTATTATCGGCCCTGCTGCGCATGCTCGTGTGCGATCCTTCGTATGCGTGTACCGCAGCCGCGAGTGTGTATGCGTATGTATATAGGTATAAGCGGGCAAACGTAACGTATGATCTTATGGATTCAAATACGGTTCGTTCTCTAGACGTAAGAACTCTTTCTCTCTGAAGTTTGAATTTTTGTTCGCGTTATACATCGAGAGGACAGGTGTCTGCCGGTAATAAGCCGTTCTTTTCACCGGGCAAACTGTATCTGTCTGATTTTTATCGGTGTATGTAAATGCGCGAATAACCGTGATTAATTGCATTGTGCTGAAACGGAAATAGCGTGGAACCATAAGATATCGATGTTCGATAGCTAGCGATTTGTATCTTTTCTCGTCTGTTTGTTTTTTTTTTTCTCTCGATATTTTATTTCCTCTTCTTTCTTTTCTCTCTCTCTTCTTCATCTTTTTTTTTTTCTTTTTTCGTAAGTTAAAATTCGTGTACGACGTCCGTTTAATGAAGACAAATCGTTGGAAAAAGTCACGCATTTTTGTATTATCGTTAATTGCGTAATTTCGGGGTTGCTCGGTGTTGGTTTTGTAATTGAAATAATTAAGGAGGACGGTACGGATCAAATTGAATTTACTGTTGAACGGAATAATGCGAAACGCAATTAAGGAATCTACGGAAATGCAGCGACTGGCCGTTTTGTGCGATTACCGGTTTCGGACGGTTTCAGGGCTGTCTCGCATTATTATTTTTCCTGATGGAATTATATCAACGATTTCCCCGTTGAAATTGCTTCCTGCTCGTTGGCGAAATACGCAGAAAAATCGGACCACCGATGCTTTCACCGCTCTCGTTCGTTCGTTCGTTCGTTCGTTCGTTCGTTCGCTTGCCACCGATTCGAAGGGTAATTAATTTTAAATTAATTATTCCGTGCGATGTAGCGATGTTTTTTAAATCTTAATCGACGAAGAATTTTTAATAATTGGTTTCATTAACGGCGAACGAGGCATAATGCGAATTTCAGCTGTCCGACTCGATAACAATTTCACACTATCGTAGAAAATTTATAGCCATCTTTTTAAGTTGCATCGAATACGAAAGATTTAGAATTCTTTATTTTAGAAAGAATCTAAATAATAATTAAATTAAATTTCTTAATTTAATCGCTTTCCATTTATCTAAAAAGTTTAATTTATTTTTTTCTACTTAATTAAATTACACATATACTTAAATAATTACAATTTTTTTTTATTTACATCTTGTTAATAATCTTGTTATGTGTAGAAATTAAGTGAAAATATGTTTTTCGAATTAATAACCAGATAATATAAGTATAAATATCGAACATTAAATTGGAAACTTGAAAATTTATTAGTGCGTGTGCAACTCCTTTTCACATTTTTTTTTTTTTTTTTTTTTT